CGACAAAGTTCTTATGCAAAAATTATTAAAACTCTCGGCGACTACTCATATCGAGAATAAGTAGCCTCATCGAATTTAATGAGGTGAGCATGAGAACTCAGCCTTCAGCCACCTGTTCTGACTAAGCTGTTGTTCCAGATTTTCACACGACCTCACTAACGCACCTTCAGCAGCAACGCTTGTCTCGTGGCCGATCCCGACGCAGAGATGCGCCCAAACGTTGTTCTTTGAGCCGAACAGGCGCAGATGCGAGACTTGGACTGTGCTTGCAAAGAGCCGGTCGAGAGCGGATTCCAGCTCGCCGAAGCAGATGCACGTCAATTTGGCTATTTTTTGTCCCGAAAAGGGTCGCGACTCTTCGTTTTTACGGGACTTCACTTTCCATTCGAAAGGAACATTTGAAAACCGAAGGAGCAGTGACAGCATTCTTACCGATCAACCGCGCCATCATACTACTCATTAGTAAGTGCCAATTTCGCGATCTTAATGTGGAATCACATAATTTTTTCGCCGGTTCGGTAGGCATGGTAACTGCTCACGTCATGCGGGGGCGTGAGTGCCCTAACCAGACTCGGAACATTTGCCAGCGCTTCTGCCTGCTCTCTCTTTGTCGCTCTCTTTGCGCCTATCCAACAACCATGGCCAGTCCGCATGAATGAGGTGTGTTTGCCCACTTCGTGTGGGCCGATGCGAGGACTGGTTGCTGAATTTTCCCACAATCGTATGAGCCGAAAAGCTATCCTCATCCAGGCACCCCAGCGGGACTCGAACCCGCGTCTTGCCGACGCAACCACTGCGCCAGACTGTCACGAGTGTGTTTCGAGCGACAGAGCAGATGTGCATTTTAAGGCGAGGCCGAATCACATTCTTTGGTGGGATTGTCGACGAGGCAAGATTGTGTTTGCTACAGAAATCGTCTAAATTGTTTATCATTCGCCTATGGGCTGGGTTTGACGACTCGACAATTCACTTGTAAACGAACAAAATGCATAGTTGGCACTCACTTTCCCACGCCCGTTCTCTTTATTCTGGATTTTTGCTGTTTTGATTGTTTCTACAGACTCCGAAATCTCTCGTTTCGATGTCTAGTCGGCGAAACCTACGAAAAACTGTGCCTGTACCACTCTACTTCGTGTCCTGTACCAACCAATTGTACAGCTAGTTGGGATTTTTGCGCAGATACCTCCTATGCATGTGTCGGCATGTCTTCGCCATGTGGAAATTACCGCAGGGGCTCAAGACCCTGTATCGTATTGCCGTAAAAAGAGGATCTGAAGATGTCCGGAAAAAGTCATCACTGAGAAGGCTGTTACTTTTTCCTCAATAGGCAATAGATGAATGATGCATTGGTTGATTCATTTCACTCATCCACGAGCATGTAGAATAAAAAAAAATAGCAACCATCCAAGTTATAGGCTGCCTCGTTGTGTTCTGTTCAGGGAAACATTTCGGCCAGTTGGAAGATGAAAACTCTTTGATAAAGAATTATTGTTTGTATTGCAAATAGTTGCTGAAAGCTCGGCAAACGGAGACTTATTGTGAACATTTTTGCAAATGGGCAACTTTTCAAATAAGCTGCGCGCTTGTTTAGAGAGAACTTCGCAGAATGAAGTGATGCTTGAAGTCTGCCTTTTGGTTGTCTAGTCGCAAAGAAACATTGGCACCGGCAAAGGATGCAATCAAAGTGACTGCTAAACTCTTACGCATTTTTGCAAACGACATGTTAACTCGCTCATCCAGTCACTCCTGCCGCCCTCCTCCTTCTCCTCTTCCTTCTCTTGTTCCACCGTTTTGCCGTGACTGTGTGGACCCATTTGTACAGAAGCATTTTATCATTCTTTTCCATCCGACACGTCAGATAACGCCAAACGGTCTCAGCAGCCAAGCCGGCTTACATGTTGGCGATGTGGTTGTGGCCATTTGCGAGGAGCCGACGCTGGGCAAGCTGTACGGCCAGCTGAAAGCGGAAATTCTGCGAGCAGGCAACGAGCTTGATCTGGTCGTTTTAAAGTAAGCCACTTGGAGACGAAGTTTGCATATTTCTTCTTTTACTTTCAACTTTTAGCATCCAACGGAACTGGGCACGTGTGTGCAAGTAGCCGAGTTTCATCACACACAAATAGGCTTGCATAAGATTGCGAAAGAGCAAATCACATGCCGTTTTTTTTTATTTTGTCTTGGCCAGAAGTCGCTATAAACTTGATGTACAGCTCTGACGGTGTCCCTCTTGTGACAGGGAAATTGTGACATTCCTACGGGGACCGACGATAACAGCTCGAGCATCTTGTCCTCGCAACGGTTTCCAAAATGAAAAAATCTGCAAATGTTAAAACTCATCCGCCAACATTTTTTGGTGAGTTCGAACCATAAAAACTTCATCTCGAATTTCTTGAGAGTTGACAACTGGTTCACTTGCCAAATAATGTATAGAATTGCTTTGCCGACATATATTACTTACAAAATTACTTACTTCAAAAATACTCATTTACGAATATTACAAAAATAAACTCGTTTGAAGTGGCATTGCTCATTTATTTCTGGCAAAAAGTGTCCTGTCTGCTCACTATTTGTGGTTCAACTAATTGTTTTCTAAGTTGCAATTAATAAGCCTAACAGGTTTCGTGAATCGACGAGCTAATAACCTTGCTAATGAATTAATGAACTAACTCAATAAGTAACTAACGGATTAATTAAATTGATATTTAATTACCTATTTAGGCAATTGACTGACTAATTAGCAAACTAACTCACTCACTATCTTAGTGGCAAACAACCAAACTAATTAAATAGCTACCTATCTATCTATCTATCTAACTAACTTAATGACTACCTGACTTAGTATCTCATGAAAGAGCGAAAAAATGGACTGAATAACTGACTGGCTAACTAATTTAACAACTAATTACCTAACTATCTAAATGTAATCAAAGTAACTTCTAATTACTAATTGACTAAGTAATTAATGAACCAAGTTAATATTTAACAAATTAACTAACCGACTGGGTTACCAATTTGCTCACTAAGTGATTAATTACTTAACAGACCAAGTGACTAACTAAATAATCAACTGAATAATTAAATATCGAATTCATTAACTAGCTGACTGGCTATCCCTCTGATTGACGGACTAATTAAACAACTATTTGACCAACTTACTAATTGACTGATTAATGCATGAACGAATTGACTAGAAAAAAATTTCGAGTACATTATTACTTCAAGACATGCCTAACTCGTCTTGAATTTCTCAACTGGCCTGGCTCTTCGAATAGACACGTTTGAAGCGGGGCGAGTGGTCATCAAAC